ATGAATAAAAGTAATTTTTTAAGTACATTTCGTTAATAATTTATAAACATATTTTTAAGGTGATGAATGTTACATAGAAGGGAATACGGTGTATGTTTGGATGTCTGTTTGTCTGTCAGTCTGTCTGTATTAGATTAAACAGCGTCACTTTAAATTAATGTCTAATTGATCACTGTGTTCAAACTTTACTGGTACTTGCATAACTGACTGCATCATTTAGTACAGTTAAAAAAAAATAAAATGTGTAAGTCCAAAATTATTTGCCATCAAACTAAAATGTTCCCCCAAAATTGAATCTAAATATTTCATCCGTCAGAAAAAGACATTCTTTAAGGCGATACAAGAATTGGTCAGCAATCGTCATCAAATCGACCTGATCGGTTGAATTTGATAGACGTATAACACTTTGCCACGGTTTACATAATTAATTTATTCACCAATATTTTACAGACAGATATAAGAAAAAGATAAATGATGTTTGATGCTGTCAAAATATTTTGCTGTTAATTTAATTGTCTGCAACTATTGGCCCTTTTTGTTTTATAAGAAGAAAATTCAATGATATTAAAATATGTTGAGGTTAATTTTTAAGTTATCGCCCTTAAAATGTTTTCGAATAAGACTAGATATTTGGAAACATTTATCTTTATTGCAATATTAATTGCGAATTTACTTAATATAGGGATATTTTCACTGAATGTAACACTGTATCAGATTCATCACGTTAGTATTCCACGTCATTTCTACTGTTATTTCATAATTTGATTGAAATCCTACAAGTATCTGGCCAGAGGTGCGGAAAGTTATAGCAGCTTGCCATTTTCCTGACATAATCTCTTAAGAAGTTGATAAAATATTACATTAATACACTTGTGTTTTAAACACACGTTTAAATCATCATATGTTTAATATATCTTATGCTCAAAATTTTGAAATGCGTCTTCAATGTGTCTTAATTGTGTCTTAAATGTGTTTTACATGTGTCTTACATGTGTCTTAATTGCGTTCAGTCTACAGCGGGACTAGCATATATTTGATGCAAGAGTTTAAAAGGCAGTGTTAGTTTTATAAAGTGTGTCTGTGTTGTATGCAGCCGGCATTGGCCACTCATGTATATATCGCCCATTTACCAATCACCCCGAACTTACAACGTATGTATCTATTGCACATACATTTTGTCGAGCGATTATAATCTGCATTATTGTGATGTGTATTGGCTGTTTATGACAGTTGAATGCTGTGCATGGTAGTGTCAGACTTTACATGGTAGTGGCAGGATTTACATGTTAGTGGCAGGCTTTACGTGGTAGTGGCATGCTTTACATGCTTGTAGAACACCGAACCACAGAAGCAGACCATCTCACAGCCCTAACTATAATGATGAAAATATATGTGGTAAAATAACGGTAATGGTTGTAATGGTGGTGATGACGACAAAGAGAATAATGATGACAGCAGTTTGGTGAATCAGCTTTAACAATGTTGAGTTTAGATCGTCCACCTTCTCTATGTCTATACCTAACACACCAGAAAGTTCACCCTTGACACACAGCTCTTTGTATGTTGACCAGATTGAAAATGTCTTGAGACATGAGCTCACGTTTTCATTTACCAGAATGGAAAAAAAACTTAATATATAACATTCATCACCTTAAGAATATGTTTTTAAGCAGCATAAACAGCCAATAATCTGTAAGCTTTTTTCAAAAACTTTATTTCGATAATTGTAATTACATATAATTAAGAACCTTAAAAAAGTAATACAATGGATGCTGTAAAATCTGTTATTTTTGCACCTTAAAATAACTACATTTTTTTTTTATGTGTCTTATGCATGTACATTTTACTTTAATGGAATACATTCAGTACAAATGCATTACAAGTCTGATTGTTCGACATTATGGGTGACTTGCTCTTTTTGATCGTGTGTCTAACTTTACATTTAAGAATGTATTAACATTAATGATATTTTTTGTAACGTATTTAATTAACGATAAGTATGCCCCTCTTAAAAAATAATCACTGGTTCTAATCCTACTTGTCCCGTAAGAATAATTGGATATCCGCCGTCATATTGAATCTCTCCGGTATTTGTTTGTTGTATTTACCTTCATCTCCAAAGTTCCAAGAGCAAAATAATATTACCGTGTATTCATAAATAGGCGCAGAACATACAATTCCTAACTGTACTCAATCTCCAACTACTTTCTGATATGCGACTATGTCCTACACGTTGGACTGACCAACTCCTAACGCTTGGTCAGCGAACCGTCTCACGTGACAGGTCAGTTCGTTTCACTGTTATTATATTGTTTCTGCTTGACTAGTGTGTGGTTATTGTCTGTCCATTATAGCGTAGATTTTCGTATTATAGTAAAAAAAAATGTCATGGAATAGAATCAACGGAACAACTTTAATTCAACCCGATTGATCGTTCGTCTTATTCATTCAAACGTCATGGCAACCAAATTTTCAATAAAGTCCCTGATGCTTGCAAATATATTCCTTTACAAGTCATATTGACAGTCAGGATAGTGTCTAGCTCACAATAATTACATTTTTCTTATAAATACAACCTATGTCGGTATATGTATATATATATATATATATATATATATATATATATATATATATATATATATATATATTGTTTTATATGTCTTAAACTTCAATAATCTTTTGCTGCAGCTGTGGAGAGTGTATAGGAACGAGTTGTTTCAGTCATAATAACTAATTAAAAGCATAGTTTACCATTCAGATCAGATAATGAACCAGTGTGTTCTACTCTCAATGGCTATTTCCTTGGATTACTCGAACTTGTAGCATCATGTAATCATTTTCCTGCAAGCCATACACCAACAGTGGGAACAAAAACCGTTTTGTTACAACTTATCTTTTTGCTGAAACATACCCAACAACCACAGTGTGGTGGGAGAAGTCTAAGGTTTTATTATATATGTGTCAGGTCATCGACTTTCTTCTTCACTTAGTTTTGTTAGGGCCTGTAATATTACTCCAGTTTACACTGTGGAAAATACTGCATCGACAGTTGTTTTTATTTACTGAAAGTCTCATTTAGATTGATGCAATGTAGATATTTAATTGTTTTCTTTTTTTTTGTAATGTTTTATAATGTTAAGTAATATTTACAGGATGTGTCAAATTTATTTATTTAAAATGCTATAAGGGAGATAACAAAACCATAATATACATAGACAGCAGAATCAATTGAGTATACACACATAATAATCACAAGATGAAATTCTTAGCAAAGAAAAATATAATTTTAAACTGTATTTTTATATTACTTAAAATTTCGTTTATTTCATAAAAAAGTTTATGTTAAATATATTTCAAACCTTCGAATTTAATAAACATTTTACTAACACAAGCAAAAACTTCGATTTAATCTAGTGGCTTATTCACATGACTGGATGGCTAATTTTGTTTATCGCTTTGTTTTAAAAACCAAAATAATAAATTTAAATTTCGGCCGATCTTTTTTAAAATCCGACAACACTAGTGTTGTATCTGAATTATGACGTGGTTTGTCACCATGGATCATCAAAACTGGAGCTCCCGTTTGTTTACCTTTAAATCAGACTGCTCGCCTCTCACTACACTAAAACATTCTACTCAGCTTATACAATGTTTGGATGTTGGTTGAAACACTATTGAGGAAGTTGCATGTTCCTAAAAGTAATAGCCAAACAACATATGCAATCATCAGACCATCACAACATTGCTGACGTTAACCACACGAGTCCGTGTTTTTGTTTACTTTACAACGAGCTGTATATTTGCCTTTATGACAAAAGTGCCAAACAATAGCCAACAACACCTCAGTGGGTAATAAGCATCCCCATTGAGGCAGTGTTACACTAGCTAGACCAGGGGTCTCCAAACTTTTCAACCCGAGGCCGCATCAACTTTCAAATATAACTATATATCAACTATATATATCAAATTAAATATATCATATATATATATATACATATATATATATATATATATATATATATATATATATATATATATATATATATATATATATATATATATATATATATGACCCACACCAGAGAACAAAGTCTGAAAGAAACACTGTCGGAGACCGACAACACACTCGAGGTCCATGTTTGTTCTCAAATTGTTCTTCACGTAGGCCTACTTCATTATTGATAAAGTTTGTATGTTCTCCCAAATATGAAAGGTACCTTTTTTTCAATATTAGGAAGGTCTTCCTCAGTGTTTCTTCCAGACTTTTTTCTCCGGGGTAGGCATTGAAATACTGGGGGGGGGGGGGCGGTAGACTTTCTTCGGGGGGGGGGGGGGGCGGACACGGTTTAAAGTATATATTTTCTATATAAATTATATACATTTCATTTCGTTCGAGGGGGGGGGGTATATTTGGGGGTTGGCTAACCCCCCTTCCCCCCCCCCCCCCCCCCCCCGAAGAGATGCCTGGACGAAACTCTTTCTTGGGCAAATGCTTATTTAAACTTTTTCTTTAAGGAGGGAGGTGATTTGCTGGGCAACTGGCCACAATCACTTCAATGGCTATTTGCACCGATTCTACATTTTCAGTGTATTTTGAATTTTTCCTCAGCCACCTCCAACAAACATTGTTTTTCCGTGTATAAAGGGATCTCCGGGGGCCGGATGAGGGGACATCGCTGGCCGCATCCGGCCCGCGGGTCGTAGTTTGGAGACCCCAGAGCTAGACTAATCATGATTTATTTTTGTTGATCTAATAAGTGATTGCTTTGCATGGTTTCAATGTATATCAAATGAAGGGATCGATAAGTTTAGATTTGATGTGGCAAGACACATTTACTCTACATAGTTATTTGAATATTGCTAGCCTTAATAAAAACGGAAGTCGTAGTGTGCTCATATCACAAGTATTATAAAATAATAAACTTTAGTTGAAACATAAGCTTTCTGGCAACAACAATTTGCAACCAGCTGTTCAAGCCTTTTGTTTCTTTTTTTTTTTTTTAACAATGTCTAGTTTTTAAATGTCTAGGCTGTAATGGACCAGATTCTCCCCACTTTTCCAACACATCAAGAGCAGTTTCAATAAATTCTCCAACAAAAACTTTTGAAATTCCAGACATAGCAATAACAACATTCTGTGATACACTGGTCCCTGTTATGTTTTGCATTAATCTTTTTATTGCGGCTTTTGGAAAAGTTGCTCTTCTATACATTTCATACCTATTTAATTGCTCTTCAGAGAAGTTGAATACCAGAACCTGCATTTTCATTCTTTCTTCTTCTTGCTTTTGATGTTTTTTTACAACCTGTTTCATCTCATCTTCAGTGATTTCTAACTTGCGCTTTTTATCCTGAGATGTTCCTGCTAAATTTGTTGTTGTAGGTTTTTCCATAGCAGGACTATCTTTCTTACTCCCCATATTTTCTGGTGTCTTCTCTCTGTCTGAAGACTTTTCTCTTTCAGATGATGATCGTTTTTCTGGTGTACTGCCTCTACTAGACTTTGGTGATGATGCTTGTTTTTCAGCTGAAGCAGAATGGAATATTTCTCTGTGACTGCCATTTATAGTGGGACTGGGAAATGGACTTGGAGATGGACTTGCACTAGGTGTGCTTGTCACAGAGATATCAGTTTCTATTTTCAATTCTCGTGTGTTTGATTGTGAGTAGACTGAAGACTCAGACATTAATCCTAATGATGTCATTGTGTCTAGCAAGGCTGAGCTGCCTTCTTGAAGTGGATTCATAATCTTCAGGTGATTGTTACAAATTTGCAAACACTCAAATAAAGGTTTGTTGTCCTAGTTTTAGTAGTTCTTTAGTGTGGTCTAGCTACTAGATCTAGATCTAGACTAGATTCTAGATCTAGAATTTCTAGATCTATATTAGATCCAGACTAAATCTAGAATCGTGAGAATCTGTATTCATTAACTGAGTGTAGCAAGTGCAAGTGTGTGTATTTTGAAAATAATTGTAATTGTTAAAATATCTTGCCAAAGGACACAGCGATTCAACATAATATAGACTGAAAATTTATTTTTAGTACTAAATTTTAAAACATAATACTGCCGTTAATCATTTTAAATTATGAGTCAATTATTTTTTTCTTTTAGATAACCTGCAAAAAATTTAATATTTGTTTATAACAATCCATTTTTTTAAAAAAATGTATTGAATGAATTGCAAATGTTTTTAGTTTGCTTTGACTGTTGTACTGTTTTTTGTTGTCTTTTTTTAACTAAAGGAATTCTTAGAAATTATTTCCCTTAACACATTTTTAAAGCAAAATGGGAAGTGATAAAAAAAAAACATGTTTAAATACATGCACATTTTTAATACATTTTTAACACAATAAAAGGATTCAACAATTTAATCACAACGTTTACATCGTAGCTTTGTTTTAGGTAATTTTGCAGCTACAAAAACTTAATTAGTTACTTATATTATTTTTTGTTTTTAAATTTTCAAATGTATTTCAGTAATAGTTATAAGTCCACACCACTCAACCCAAATAAAAATCAATACAAGCCATGTGTTAATTTTACATGCATTTATAAGCAAGGTTCGATTTGTACATACTTATTGTATAAGCCAGGTTCCATGTGTACATACATGTATAAGCCAGGTTCGATTTGTACAACTATATTAGCGTATACCCTGTCTCCACAGAATAACCAATTACTAATTAATACATTATCTATATATATATAATTCTCTTCTGGGAGCCGTTAGAAAACAAGCTGCAAGCGCATCCTTACAGTCCCCTCTCTTTCTCTCTATCACTATCACTACCACCCCCACCCCACCCCCCACATTGTCTGGTGAGTTGTGGTCACGCTAAATTAAATGTTTACAAATCGTAGAGCTGGGTTTAGTGACGGCTATTAGGGGCAGATAATTTAGTTTGAAACGATTTTAAACTTACAGGAGGTAACTAAGAGGAGGCTGCTTTCACGGGGGGGGGGGGGGGGGGGAGTGTAGGGTCCGGGTTAGGGGAAAGGGGGGGGGTTAGTGTTTTAAAGCAAATGTTTTCAGTGGCAGCATTGGTACTGTCGACTTCACAAATTATGAATTACTGAAAAGTAGAAAATAAAACAACTAAATAGCGGCGCATGATACGCCGCGGGTCGGCTCGTTTAAAATAATCGGGCTTAAAATGTTGTAATACGAGTTGTATTTTATTATAATGTTTAAATAAACCAGTGGCCAAATCAAAAAATATTCTTTGACACATACACCACACATGGTAGACGCGTAATATTTAAAACACAAGTTATGCATGACAAGACGTATGCATTTAAAACAATATTGTTACGCTCGTGTGCGCTAGTTATAAGACGCTTCAACATTAATTGTATGATATCGAATAAGAGGTTATCTAAACATGTATGGCGACCGAAAATATTTAAATATTACACCTATCCCCCCACCCCCTCAGTCCTCACCCAGTCCACACGTGTCACATGTCAACAACCAAATCAACCTCCCACCTCTGATGCTAACGTCCACAAAAACTTAATAGACCACTTAAACATTACACCTAATTAACTCATTCAATAACATGTATTGTGTACCTTTCAGCGCCATTAATAGACCCTTTAATACAGTGACTAATTTTAGGTCATGTTAATTTTTAGCACTACAAACTGGAAGTAAAACATAGACTTGAAAAAAAAACAATAAATACACTATTTTAAACTTCAAAGTATAAATATAAAAACTCTTGATTTATTTGTATTGTTTTTTTTTTGTCTTCCCTTTAAAAGTATCATTCGCTGTACTCGTGCAATGTGTTATTAACGATCATAACAATCTAAGGTCGTAAGGCCACATCGGGTTCATGGCCACTCATTTTGTTTAATGTCTCACATACTTTAACACTGGTCAAAATACAAAGAGATGTGTGCCAAAGGTGAACGTGTTGGACGATTAGATATGGTGAAACTGCCCGACATACACACGTATGTATATTAACGGTGAATTTACTGGAGTGTTAGGTATAGACAAAGACTATGTACACGATCTAAATTCGACATTGCAAAAGTTGATTCAACTATCTGTTTTCATCATCATCCAAATTAGTATCATCATCACCAACACAACCATCATTTAACCACTAATAGGCTGCTGCTCCGATGAGGGTGATCCACTACTATGTAAAGCCTGCCACTATCATAATCAGCCTTTATACTATACAACAATAAAGGCTTAACATTTTCGAGAACATGACTAATTTAATCTTCTCTTTATTGAAAATATCGTATAGATTAACGCCAAAACTTCTGATGATCAAATTTTCCTGCTACTGTCACTGTAAGTGTTGGATGTGTTTCTTGTATCTCAGCTCACACCCTGAGTGGTCTAAGTGTTGGATGTGTTTCTTGTATCTCAGCTCACACCCTGAGTGGTCTAAGTGTTGGATGTGTTTCTTGTATCTCAGCTCACACCCTGAGTGGTCTAAGTGTTAGATGTGTTTCTTGTATCTCAGCTCACACACTGAGTGGTCTAAGTGTTGGATGTGTTTCTTGTATCTTAGCTCACACCCTGAGTGGTCTAAGTGTTTGATGTGTTTCTTGTATCTTAGCTCACACCCTGAGTGGTCTAAGTGTTAGATGTGTTTCTTGTATCTCAGCTCACACCCTGAGTGGTCTAAGTGTTGGATGTGTTTCTTGTATCTCAGCTCACACCCTGAGTGGTCTAAGTGTTGGATGTGTTTCTTGTATCTCAGCTCACACCCTGAGTGCTCTAAGTGTTGGATGTGTTTCTTGTATCTAAGCTCACACCCTGAGTGGTCTAAGTGTTGGATGTGTTTCTTGTATCTCAGCTCACACCCTGAGTGGTCTAAGTGTTGGATGTGTTTCTTGTATCTCAGCTCACACCCTGATTGGTCTAAGTGTTGGATGTGTTTCTTGTATCTCAGCTCACACCCTGAGTGGTCTAAGTGTTGGATGTGTTTCTTGTATCTCAGCTCACACCCTGAGTGGTCTAAGTGTTGGATGTGTTTCTTGTATCTCAGCTCACACCCTGAGTGCTCTAAGTGTTGGATGTGTTTCTTGTATCTAAGCTCACACCCTGAGTGGTCTAAGTGTTGGATGTGTTTCTTGTATCTCAGCTCACACCCTGAGTGGTCTAAGTGATGGATGTGTTTCTTGTATCTCAGCTCACACCCTGAGTGGTCTAAATGTTGGATGTGTTTCTTGTATCTCAGCTCACACCCTGAGTGGTCTAAGTGTTGGATGTGTTTCTTGTATCTTAGCTCACACCATGAGTGGTCTAAGTGTTGGCTAGTGCGCATGTCATGGTAGAATGTTTGCAAGTAAAACTAGAGACCTAGAGATTGTGTACGTCTCTTATTAAACAAGATTTCCGTTCATAATGTTACATCAGTGTAATCACATCAGGACTTTGCTAACATAAGATTGTATATGAGTGGTAGGTGTGGGGTGATGGGTGAATGGGTGATATATATATGAGTGGTGAATGATAGATGGATACAATAATGGCCCTTACACAGACAAACTTGATAAAACTAACACTGGCGACTGAAATCAATTACGACACACGCAAGACACATGTAAAGCACGTTTAAGACACATTTAAGGCACATTGAAGACGCGCTTTAACATATCGATTGTAAGATATATTAAACACATACATGATTTAAACGTGTGTGTTAAAGAAACAGTTGTGTTAATGCAATAACTATCAACTTCGTAAGAGATTGTATCCAGAGGCGTAGCGACCCTTCCCGGCGCCCGGGGACATACTTTCAATTTGGCGCCCCCTTGGGAGCAAATTTTCGATTTGCACCCCCCCTCGAACTTTGCATTTGCACCCCCCCCTCAAACTTTCGATTTGCACCCCCCCTCGAACTTTTCATTTGAACCCCCCCCCCTCAAACTTTCAATTTGGCGCCCCCCCCCCCTAAGGTCGGCGCCCGGGGACATATGTCCCCCCCCCCCCCGCCCCCCCCCTCGCTACGCTACTGATTGTATCGAGAAAATGGCAAGCTGCTATAACTTTTTACGCGTCTAGCTAAGTACTGGTAGGATTTCAATTTAATTATATATATATGTAACTAGGGGAAGTTACCAAGAGACATAACGTGTTACAGTCTGACGTCACAGTGCAGGTGTTGGCTGATGCCAAGGCGTAGTATCTCGGGAAGCGATACGAAGGACGGTCTGTCAACTTTGATGTGACAGGATGCAGGTGGCTTATTAAAATCGGACTGTACGACAGAAGCGGCGTAATTAACAGTCTGATGTAACGATTAGAATCGATTACAATTACGATTATGATAGGACCGAATATGAGTACGATTATGAAGGGGATATAAGGAAGGCGACGGCTGAGCTCGAGGTCTCTCAGAAAGTCAGTCTCTCTCAGTGAGTCTCGGAAGGTCTGTCAGTCAGTCCGTCAGTCTCTCTCGGTCAGGCAGTATCAAGTTGGTTATATTGTGTTAAGAAGGACGTTAGACATGTGTATTCAGTTAGATGAAGCCTAGTGAGGACTGTTGGGGGTCAGTTGATTCAGACTATTATTGTGAAACATCTCTCTTGATTCAATATATTATTGTGAAACATTCTTTGATTCATGTAATAAAAGGATCAATAATGAACCTGCATCTTCGAGTATCTATGCTGTGGTCAATGTTGTGTGGAATGAGTGGTTAGACTCGGGAAGGTCACATTTGGCGTTGTCGCCAGGGTAGCCAGAGACTCGTTACATTTGGCGTTGTCGGCAGGATAGACTCGGGGACTCGTTACATTTGGCGCGGCGATCAGGATGAATTCAACGAGACTTGCCGCGTTAGGCACCCATAGTCAACCTAGTTCATAACTGT